TATATTTTTTTATACTATTAACGATTTCCTAAGCCGCTTTTTAGTCGTTTTAATAGTATAAAATAATAAAATCGTTAACGTAGAATACTAATATTACTTTCCTATTTACGGTTTAGTAAATATAAATCTCCTTATAGCTATATATTATATTTATATTATAAAGTATAGAAGTAAAAGTTTAGAACTAGAGAATTAGTAAGTTTTAGAGGCTATATAGAGCGTATTAGAGCTTATTTATTTTATTAATAACTTTATATCTTTTTAAGAGTTTAATAATTACTAACTTCTCGCTCTTAAGAAGTGCGTTAAGGAATACGTTAATAGTATTATACTAATCTATTTTAAAATCAAATTAAGTAGCTATTATTATTATAAGCCTAAAGGCCTTTATAATAAGCGTCGAAGCGTACGTATTTTATAAAAAGTTAAGTAGTTATATATCCCCCCTTATATATATACGTATTTTTATTTCGCTAATCTTATTATTAATATCGTATTTATAAATATATACTTACTTTAATAAAAATAAGATCCCTTATTTAGGATTATAGTCGACCTCTTTTTATATACTAATATCCTTTAGCTTTTTTATTTTTACGTTTATAATATTTTTAAATAGTTTTTATAATTATAATAAGAGATATTTAATATTACTAAACTTCTTTAATAAGCTCTAAAAATTAACTTTAATAAGTCGTAGTTTTTAAACTTTTTTAGAGCGCTCTAAATAGGTTTTATAAACTACTCCTTTTACTACTTAATAAAGTATTATATATCTTATATTACTTTTTTCTATAGCTTTTTACTAATTAAGTATAAAAATAAAAAAAAAGTAGTCCTAGAGACGGTTATAGTAATTACCGTTTTTTATATTTAAATATAAGAGCGTTATAAAAATACTACTATTAAAGTATTATAGAGGTCTATGGGCCTAGTTTAAACGTTTAGGACTTAATAAAGCTTTACTTAGTACTTAATAAAGTAGTTCTTATAAGCTCTATTTTTATATAATAGTAGAAGTTTATTATAAGGGTTCCTTATTAACGTTAACTTTAGTATTAAGAATTACTTTTTTATAATTAGTACCTCGTTTATTACGTATTTTAGCGTTTTACTAAGAGCTATTAAGAATTAAAAGCTCGAGAATTTTTATAATATATATAAACGCTTATAAGAAGGACTATAGATTATATAGAGCTATTTATAACCTAGTTATTATATCCCCTTTTTTATTTCTATTTCCGAGCTTATATAAGGGGGTTATCTTAGGGGTTAGTAGTAATAATAAGACTATATTAGCCTTTTTAACCTTATTAACCGTACCCTAGAGTACGTTTATCGGTTACTTAGCGTCCTAAATAGTTAAAAATTTAATAATAATACTATCCTTAATTATAAAATTATCTTAAGTATTAATATTTCCGAAGTTTAGATCTACTTCCCCGAGTACTTAAACTAGCTTATTATTAGTATTAAAAAGTTCTTATATCTCATAGATTATTAAATTTACTTATTTACTTATAATAGCTTACTCTTTATATACGGGATTATAAAAAACTTCTTTATTAAACTTAATATTCTTTATAATAAATACCTATTTAAGTACGGGTACTTAGACCCTATATAAGTTATACGTTTTTAATATATATTTAACTAAGTATTTTATATACCCGCGGGGAAGTATTTTAAACTCTTTTTAATATATACCCCTCTTATAATCTTTATAAAAAGGGTATGCTTAATAGCTATATATATAGAAACTACTAAGATACGGGGTAACTAGTTTAGAATCCCGTACTTAGTAACCCGTCTATTATTAGCGTTAATATTACTTTTACTAGTTAATTTTTATTATAATAGGCGAATCTCCTTTATTAACCTCCCGTAGGGTAATATTATAAATAAAAATTATTACTAGTACTATTTCGTTTTATAAATTCGTAAGGAGGTTCGTAAAAAAGCATATTTTACGAGTTTTAGTAATTACGAATTAACTTACTTTTTTAGCGTTATTTATAGGTTTTTTTATATATAAAAGTAGAAGTTTTATTCCGATTTTTAGCTTATTATACTACGTCTTATATATATATCTAATATTTATAGTTAAGAGGGCGGTCTTATTATTATTTTTAAAAAAGCAGATTAGAGTCCCTTTTTAATAACGAATCGCTACCTCGAGGCTCTATAGTACGAAAAGCATTTCCTCTTCTATTTTAGTCCTTAAAAAGAACTCCCTAAGCTACTTATTATATTTATTAAAAGCTATAAGTATATATTATTATTTATTTAGAAATAGTTCGAAGTAAAAGAGATCTTAGTATATACGGTACTATAGCTATAAAGCTCTTTTTAAAAATAGTTCTTTTAAAACTACTATTTTAGCTTTAGATAATATATATATTTTATATTTAACTTATAATAAAGGTTTAATACGTATACTTTAAGTCTTATATAGTAATTAATAAAGAGTATTAAGTCTAAAATAACTTATTCTAAAATATTAAAAAAGCGCGTTATTAGACCTCTTATAGGTACGTTAATATAAGTAACGGAATTTTCTATAGCTAATTAGTAATATAATACTAGCTAGGTTTTATAAAATATACTTAAAGTTTATAGAAAAAGGATAGGATTAAAAGAGCTTATATTTAAAAAAAACTAGATTATTTTTTTTAAATAAGCTACTTTTTAATAGTGCTCTTATAAAGCGTTCCTTATTATAAAATATAATTTAAACCGTAGTACTAGAGTACGTTTCTATTTAATAAAGTCTTTAAGACTATATTAATATAGAATCCCTTAATATAAGCGACGTTTTAGAGCTTTAGATTATAAGTTCCCTTTTTTTTAAGTCCGTTTAAAACGCCCTTTATAATATAAGTACTACGTATAGTAATAAGTAGTATAGTAGTTCTTAATTTAATATAATTATTATTACCTAATAATACGTAATTCTTAGGTTTAAGTAAGCTCTTATTATTAACTAAATATATTATTTTATAGTTATTTATTATCGTACTTTAAAAAAAGAGGTAAGCGCTATTTATAAAAATATTAAAAATTACGTTTATTTCTAAGTTTTAACTTTTTATAAATATAGTAACTACGTAGTCCTCGTCCTAGTTTATTAATAAGCTCGCTATAAGTTAATTAGAGGATCTTTTTAAAAACCTAGGTTTTTTAGGGGTACTATTATTCCTTAACTAACTAGCTTTTTTAAGCTTATTATAAAGTAATTTCTACTTACTTAATTTAATAATAGTAAGGACTTTTTTTATATAGCTCCTTAATATTCGTATTAGTAACTTACTAACGTTTTAGCTTATAAGTACCTATTTTAATTTTTAATACGTTATAAGGCGCTATAAGTATACGTAATTATAAAAGTATATAACGTTATTTTTATTATTTATATTATTAATTAAGTTAGAGTGTCTAGTAAAAGTAAAATAAGCCCCTCTTTAACTTAAAAGTTATTTAGTATATACGTCTTAAGTTACTAAGCTAAATATATATATAATCTCCTCGAGGGTCCTTATATGCGTTTTAAAAACTATTAATTCGCTAAAGGTCTTATATATACGTTAGCTTTATATAGGGTTAAGTCTAGACTTAACCGTAACTAAGAAGTTAAGTATAGCGATTTTTTTATTAATTTCTAAAATATTATACGTTTTAGCTTAGAGGTAAGTAAATTACTACTCCTTATACTAGTATTAAAAGTTAATTCCGGTCTTTATTTTATTAAGGGCTTATTAGTATTCCTCTCGAACTATATTCCTTATTATTAATTTAGGGGGCGCAAATTCTTATTTTAAATATCTAACAATTTATTATATACTAAACTTAGCGCCGTTTTTAATAGCTTTTTAAAATACGTATTCGTATAATATAGCGTTAATTAATTTTATTAATTACTAAGTAAGGATTTTAATATACGTATTAATAGTATTATATTTATAAGTTATAAATTATTTATATTTAGTATTAAGCTCTTATTATTTTTAAATACTCTCGAGTATATAGATCCTCTTTATAAGTATAATATAAAAATAGATTTATTTACATAAAATAAGTAATATAATTAGCTTTATAAAAAAAAACCTAGCTTAGTTCTATAAGTTACTTATATTTAAAGAAGTTAAAAAGTTCGTATTAAGAATTATATTTAGAAACTATTAATAAAGGATTTTTTAGTTTTTTTAGTTATTTTTAAACGCTTTATAACGGGCTTAATAAGCTCGTAGTTCTTTTTTATTACGGGTTATAATTAATTATTTAAATTTAAAAGGTAAAATAAGCGCTATAAAAAGGTTAAAGAATGCGTTAAAGTTTAGAGCGTTTAGGTTAACGTATTTCTAAATCCTAATACTCTTATTTATAATATAAAGTATATTAAACTATTTAATTTAATTTTTATAATTAGTTAATTTAGCTTAGGCTAAAGTAAGTATAAGTAAGTTAGTTATTTTAAAAAGATCGTAAGAATTATATTAATAAGTACGTTATTATAATATAAGGTCTTAACTAAGAGCTAGGTTTATAATTATTATAAGTTATAGTACGTAGTAATAGGTATACGGAGTATAATAAAAGTAGCTTAATTATTAAAATAAAAATAGATAAAAGGAAAAGGTCTATATATACGATATTTAAGATAGATACGTAATTTAGTACGTAACGGGTACTTCGTAAGGTACGATTACTATCCCTATTACGTAATAGTAGGCTTGGTATTCGTTATGTTTAAAGTATAGCAAAAGGTCTTCTCCTTTAGGTAATAAAAACAAATTAGTATCTATGCGCGTAATGCCGTCGTCCCCGTCTACCGGCCCTTGTTTCTGGCCGTCGCGATGGGTAAGAAAAGTTGGACTTGCAAATACTATGCTTGGGGCCCTCAACTTTGACTTTTCCGGCTTGAGTCCTTCTCCGAATTCCGTATTCGTCGATCTTGTGAGATACATTCACGGTCTATCTCAGACTCATTCTGTCGCGTGAAGTTAGTCAGCGAGGATTCCCTCCAGATACTCCTCGAAGCTTCCCTTCTTATCACTGTATAGTAGAACATTAGCCGTCAATAATCCGTGGTTGTGAACTTTGCAGGAGGGAAAGTTAGAAAGGAGGAAAGGTGGAAAATCTGGAAATAGTCTATTGAGACAGTAAGAGCATCGATTAATACTGTGTATTAATACTATGTAAACGATATCGAGAACCGCCCGAGCAGCCAGCAAAGGCAGAATATAAAAACAAATAGTAGAACATTAAATCAAATTGAATTGAGTCAGATCATATAGTGCGCTATAGCGGCCAGGTGCCAGTGGGGCACATCCTAGTTCCTTGTTGGGCCGTAACACTTTACTAGAATGAACCTATAAGGATGGCCGCAGGTGCGGTTTGTATGGCTGTGCTTCTATACTAGCAGTGGAATCGCTGTCCTCTTTGTTCTGGCTAACCTCAGCCGCCGGGCTGTTGAATGGAGTTATTGAATGACCGGGGCTTGGGGCCGGTAGAGATGTCGCTCCTAAAGGCGCATGAGATCGGTGGTACGCATTGGTGAGTGGGTAAGCTTGAAGGATAGTCTGCCACCAGATAGGCACAGGCTAATTGGTTCGAACCGTGGGTTGACGAAGATGTCAGTTGCGCTATAATATCTTCTGCGTAAGTGTATAAAGGAGGTTCCAACCGTAGGTTGGGCAGGCCGCGATTATCGTAAGTAGTGGCCGTAGTTGGCCCCTGCGCGGGCGCCTTGACGTCGAGGTCGAATTGGACTTCCAATCCGACAGTCTCACTTGGCTATTGGTGATATTTCCCACCATAGCCTCTACGTAGCACACGGGCCCGAATCAGAAGCCGAATACTGGGGGATCAATGTGATCGTAGCTTACGTATCAAATGAAAAACCTTGGTCAGTTGGAGAGGTCGCTTGTAGCGTGTTGTATTAAGATATCATGACCTTTGTAGAACGTATCACTAGAAAGCCCTCGAGACTTTCCCAAATCGGCAGACATTTATTGATGTACGTAAGACTATCCGCTTGCACAAAACACTTAGTCACTGTGATCAGTACGCTCTAAGAGTGCTCTTCTCCATAACCCATTACTCAGGTCCCAAAACTAGGTACGAACTCGAAGTTGTCGGTCCCACAGTAAGGTATACATGGGCAAATCCTAAGTCTGCAAGTCACTCGTTCTCGCTAATTCCTTCGGATTGGTATTCGTATGTCATCCAACTGGCTGGTTGGTATTACTGTTGATGGGTCTTCATAGGTGGACGCTCCTGATTTTATACGGCTCCCGTCCACAAACAACACCTTGGCCTCGGCCCACACTTCACTATTCCTGATTCAATTATCCGGAGCAGGATACAAGTACTTGGTAGGACTGAGCACAGTACCCACAAATATGCGACGGCAAATGTGTTGAATGATTTACATGTTATTTGGACCCTTAACATGGCAATTCCTATGAAGCAAAGGAACAACTGTTCAACCTTAAGATTTGCTATCTGCATCTCCAATTTCTCCGTGCTTCTGTTGGTTGTCAGTGGATGTACGAAAGGTAGTTCTAAGACACGTCCTGGTCGTATGTTGATTTAGTTATCATGCGTGGCTGCTATCTTGAAATTGAGGACTGAGAAGGTTTGACCTTTTTTAAACTATCTGACAAAGCAGAATTTGCACCTGACCTATTACTTGCTTTGAATGTGAAGATGTGGCTGGACAAATCTATTGAGCATGATCCCAACACCCATGACGGAAGGTAGATTACACCTAGGATACATCGCAATAGATGGCGGTATTGACGTTGTGCCACTTAGAGCAATCGAAGCATGTAGAGTCCCCACCTCCAAAGTTTCTGCAGAGATTATAGAAGGCTCTGCCATCGATCCATCCATAGGCGGCTTCCAACTAAGATACGAACTTTAGTATAGGAAGACAAGAGGCCTAGCTGGGGTCTTACAAATGCGCCTGCAAATCGGGGTCCGGGACCCTTGTCATGGGCAACCCAATAATCTCCTTCAGCCTGACCTATAGGACTGTGAGAAACTTGAAGCCCATTAGGGCGAGCTACGTACCCCAAAGGTATTCAGTGCTGTGAAGACTGCGGACCTGTGCGGTAGCATCAATGTTGATGCTTCCATCAGTAGCAGACTGACAGGCACAGAACTGGTGATTTTTCGCTAGCCTATAATCCGGTTAGTACGCATATATGCGACATGATAAGTGGCAAAAGGGGAAATTTACACTATGCTGCAAAGAGCAAGCATGGAGGAGGCGGAGAGGATATGCATCGTCGTAGTAGGTCGTTGATTGAATACAACAAAAGGTCTTCGCCGGATTGGTATGGTAAATACAGGAAAGGGGTAAGCGAGTGGTGGAATGCCGCCAGTTTAAATAGGTTTTCCTGTCTTCTAGCAAACGGCTTCTGGTCAAAGATTGCGTTCCAGCCAGCTTTCAAAAGTGGAAAGGGTTAGGCTAGGGAGGTAAACCGCAAATTAGCATTACAAAGTCAAGCGGTTGAGAATTGCCGGTCACGAATCATTCAACATGTTTTTTCCTGTCTAAATCGCTCCCATTTCAAGCTGGCTAAAAGGTAAATTAAATGATGCTTCAGCAAGCCTTCACCAGATGAAATCGCCATGAACGTTGTTTGATCATTAAGAGCCAAGATGCGAGTAGACTAATGATATCCCGTATAGCAAGCCACAGTGTGGATTTCCCTCGCTGTAAATGCTGGATGAAGATATCTGTTGGCTATATTGTGTTGTGAAAGCTTCTTTGTCACTGGCAAAGGTCAATGATAACTACGAATCCCAGTGTTGCGACCAGTGTGGTCACTCACTCCCTTACTCCGCCGTATAGCTGAAGAATAAAGAACAAGGTACAAGTGATAGAGTTCTCATTCTGTTGGAAAGCAGCCTCGTATCCTAATTTGACAAAGGCGACTAATAGATGACTCCGTAATGAAGGTTCAGGTTCCAAGTGAATATCCCACATGAGCCGTTGATATGCAGCGGTCGCACTGAAGATCTTGACTTCAAAATGAACCTTATGAACCGGTTAATGGTAGAAGACATGGTCAAGCATCTGAACTACATTTTACACTCGGTGTGTTGCGCCGGACTGCCCGAGTCTCAGAGAAGTGTTGAGAGTATAAGTAGGCAGAGCCATCACCCGCCATTTAGCCTGGTATCAACCACCACACGTCCTTCATTAATAACCGCCAGTATGCGCTATCTTCTCTTTTTTGCTCTGGCTGTCTCGTGGGTATGCTCGGTCATCGGGCTACCTACTGACAACGGCAATCCGCCGCCTCAGTTGCAGGAACGGGGACTCCCATATTGCCTTTTCCCCTCCCGCCGCCCGGCCCCCGCATCGTTCACTAGATCTTTTACAAGCGATCCCATCAGCAGACGTCGCGGGCATTTTGGTCCCAATGCCTACGAGAGCGCTGGTAATTCGCGGCTCAACTACCGCATTTGGGAGGACCCTGTTGGTCTCACTGGTTTATATACCGTCATTGACGTCGCTGCGCCAGACGGGCATCCAGCCCTCGCCAACTACGAAATCGAGGTCCGTCGGATTCCGATTGCGACACCTAACGCGGCTGGAGAGTGCTTTCAGACCATGACCCTCCGATCCGGTCAGAGAGGCCCAGCCACCGTCCGGTGGAGGCTGGACGCGAGCTACACGTACTATCTGACCATCTCGGAGGTTTGAGACTGTATCACCTAGGTACAAGAGAAAAGAAACCTGTAGATTCTATGGTACTTGCCGCAAATTTTCGAGATTTGGTCCAGTCTGCTAACCCTATCTAGAACCCAGACCATCTTACTGGGGATTGCCTAACGCAAAACACACTTCACAACAGTTCAGGGGCTATTCGGCACAGCCTCTTGAATGGGATTTCGATGAGCAGAAGTTGAGGCTGATACTCAACAGTAGTTTTGGGGTCGTTTGAATAGTTCTGTCGGTTCTTGTGGGATATGGTTCAGTATGATCAGTAAGAGACTTATTCAAGAGATGGGCAGTGGAGATTCATTCAATGCTTAAAGCGGATGTAAACCTTGAGGAAGTACGTTGAATAGTAATGGAAATCCGGCTTTCAAGCTCAGTTCGGGACCATTACATATGAGCCCTGGAGATTCTTTGAACAGTTGTCGCCTTGTCCTATTCTTGGTGCTTACCGTGTTAAAGGTGAGCGCTCATTTGTATTGCCCACGAAGTGCGCATGATACATGATAATGACCTCTCATTTTGCATATTTTCCAATTCCCATGGCCTGTTGCCTTGTAATTATTATATCCTACGCCAATTCCCACGGAAAAGATCCCACTAGGATTTCCTCTTTGGCCGAAGCATACGAGGCGTCGTCACCCACATCTGCCCGTGCCGGAAAGGATAATAAGCCTTACCGCATATGCTACTACGATGCTGCGAGCTTTGGCAGTCCCGACACCAAAAACTTGGAGTGTTTCTAGAATGATAATTAACGCCGTGACGGCCGGACCGAAGGCCTCCGCAGACCTCCCGAGGGATACACGGTCTGGAGGGCCGTGGGCCGAGGCTATCTACTCTACAGTACATTGTCTCTGTACATATTCTTCCAAATCAGGCCTTGAGACCACCAAGTGTTCTATCTTCTATAATTCCGAGGAGAGTGCTTTGCGTACGACCAATATCAACCAAAGCTTATGTCATCCTGGAAAGACTCCGAGTTTGTAGTAAGGTATTGATCATTCGCGCGTTTGTTAGTGCTGTTACTATCTAATACACCCACGGGCTCACTTAGATATGTAACATGGCATTTATACGCGGCTGTTGTGTACCCGATGTCAAAAGAGTCATGAGCATCCCACCGCTTATTGATTAATCTCAGGAAGGACAATCAAGGCGTGCACTCGCCCTGTTGTTGGTTAGCGGCCGATGGGATAACTCAAAACAGTATGAACAGCTGAAACTCACGCAATCTTCAGCTATCGTAACCTCCGTGCTTCGTACTCTTCCCAGCCATTAAGGTTCTGGTTGCCAAGATGAACACCTTAGGCTGAAAATATCTTGGATAAAATTGTAGTCAGTCACTAAATATATATTCCTGCGGGCCACTGCTTCCACTCAAACATGCTACCTGTCAACTTTCACTCCACCAACTTCTCCTGCCCACTCTCTGATTCACTATGCACATCACTGTTGTGCTTTCTCTCCTGGCCGCCGCTGCGGTTGAGGTTGCCGCCAAGGATTTCTCTGCTACTTGCTTTGACACGTACTACGAGTCGACCACGATTACATCTTCCTGCTTCCGGACTGGTGGGGATAGTGGTTACACGACCCGGTTGGATATGACCAAGTGTCTTGCCAACGTCGGTGGCAAGCTTGTTGTGCGTTATTTTCCAAGTCTGCTGCGACTATTTAATTACTACGAATGCTAACTCAAATTTCTTCACAATTGCAGTGTCGTCCCTCAAAGTAAGTCGAAAAAGTATCTGTCTACGATTCCTCCTATCTAACATAGCTGGCTAGTCCTTCTTTCAAGTACTGCGACTGTGGCATTGCAGACAAGAAGATCCTCAACTGCCGCTGTACCGATTCAAAGGGGGTAAAGCAGCCGACATCTATCGACCTCGGTAATTTTCCTGAAGAAAACCTCGCGCTGTAGAGGCGACCAGAAGCTAACATGCGCTAGACACGTGCTTGAGTAATAATGACTCTGAGTTAGAATGCAAGTGAATGCATTGCACGGGGAGGAAGGGATAGGAAGTGTGATGCGGTTGTTGTTACTAAGATGTCTAGAAGCTAACATTCCTGATGGACTTGGGTACTTATTTGTATTACCTTGAGGACTGTGATAATCCTCGAGCTAAAACGGCTTCAAGCGTAAGAACTGCTCAAAACATCCTTGTTTACTATGTCGACTGTGAGGAGGTTGCCCAAAAAAACTGGTGAATCTTGGTAGTTTGGCTTGTCCCCCTTGTTCTCGGGGGTCGCGACATGCTCAAACTATTCCCTGATAAACTCAGCAAATGCTCCCTTAACACGCCTTGAATCAATAGGGCGGCGTCTCTGGACCTTGATAGAGGGGTTCCTTATGACAAGGCTTATAAACAACCTTTTCCCACTTTTTTGAATCGTTAGAGGCCCGTAGCACGCGTTCTACGAATTTCTTCGTTTGTTGATGCGTTAAATCAACGCCTAGAATATGTTGTACGCGTATTTCAACATCCAAATGCCTCCCCTGGGTTTGGGATAACCTCTGGAGGTCAGCGATTCCCTTTGCCCTATATTAGTACCTTCTATGCGATGTCTAAGTATTGGTCTGGGAGTTCCCCCGTTGATGGAGGCTCTGTTGACTCATTCTTCGTCTGCAAAATCCGCGAGTGCGTGATCAAGCTCATGTTCGATGGATTAGACCACTCCCTGCAAATGAAAGTATTCTCAGAGCAGAAGAAAAGTGAGAGCATTCGGAACAAAGTTGTTAATGTTGTGATTGATTGAACTGGGACTAATAAGGTAGCCGGGCATGATATCAGGGGGTTTTTAGGGAGAAATGTCAGAGGTAGCTACTTAGACCCCGGCGACAGACGAGCCGGCGCTTCCCTATGATACATAGTAGGGATTCTTAATTTATTACGCTAGGACAATTGAAACTTAAGCCTGAGTCATTCCATCTCACTACCGAAGTTAAATAAATAACATGATAATAGAGTGTAATCCGTCGTACTTTGCTTATATAGTCTCGTGAGGACGATGAATTGGCCGGCCAGGTCAACCTCGTCATACTCATCCCATCTTGTCATAAACCTCTATCTCTACTACAACTCCCACTCTGGTTGCTATGACGCCACTCTCTTCACTCATTATACTTGCTGGATTTGTCGTAGCAGCACTAGGCCTGCCGACAGACCAGACTACTGGAGGAGATTCCAAAGTCCTTGAAGCACGGGTATGCGATCTCAACCCCACCCCCCCTGAGAATTTCTAATCACAAACGTGGTGATTTTCAGAGATACTGCCCTTTCTTCAACATGAATTGCTTCCCCAGCGGAAACACGAATGATCGTACGGGATGCCGACAGCATTGGTGCTCGCACAGCTGTTCTTGCCCGTCCGGCTGGGCCCGAGAATGCACCCATATTACCGACCTCACCTGCGGTGGATTCTAGTCGAGTTGCGTCAAGCACGAGAGAAGTACTGCATAGGTAGATCCCGGGGCGCATTCTTGCCCGAACGATCTGCGTGGTGTTGGTATGTAGTGTTAATGAAAGGTTGCAGCATCAACGTTCTGGTGTTTGTATATCACTTGATGAACGGCTGGACAAATGCATAACTCTTTTGAAATAGCTCAAGAATACCTTATTTCTATCAAATTGAACGGATCGTAACGACACAATGCGCAATATTCTTGTCTTTCTTATAGTCTAACGAGCGCAACTTATCTACTCCCATAATGATAACCTAAATCCCGCTTCCTTGCAAATTGCCTGGAAAGATAGGAGACTTAATCTCGTTCATAGTCCGAAGCAAAAATGAGGGTGTCAGCGGTCTTTGCGAGCAGAGTCGTGTGAAAGATAAGGCTCTTGGGGTCGAGAATGCTGCTGCTCAAGCACGTGATGCCCATAGGCCAGGTTTTATGTTACTATTCCATGATACTAAAGAGTCAGCTGGAATGGCGAGGAGACGCTCCCCGATCCAGTTGAAGAGATATTGATACTTGAAAATGCCATCCCTGTCACACCAGCATATGTAACGAATATTAATGATCAAGTCAACCTTTTACTCTATCGATGGGGCAGAACCCTACCGATCCGATTCCGCTGAAACTGTTCCAAGATCTGAACTCGAAGATATCGAAGTTCAAGCGCCGAAGAAAAGAGAGCTCTGGACACCAATGGTGCTGAGAAATTCATTCACCAGTGTTGTATCCCTCTACCATTTTTTTGGGGTTCTATCATGGCTAAGTCCTGGAAAATCACAATCTTCGGCACATCACTTGGCTAAAGAGCCCTTTCACCTCTTCACGGAACATGAAAATAATAGAATACGCTTCAACAAGCGTCATATAGCCTCAATAACCAGTCTTTGCGAAAATCGCAGTGTGCCTTGGGTATGCCACTATCTTATGCTGGAATGATCCAGTTGCACCGCCTCTCCTTCCAAGTATTTTCAAATTGACGGCGAAAAACGTCGACTTGCGAACAACCCTTGCTTGAGATCCGTATACGCAACATTACTGTTTTTTCAAGCCTAAGTATCGAGAATATAGACTGGTTTGTGGTTATTGTCCCAGCCCTGACTTTGCACTTGTCCACATGTTTATGGTGAGTTTCTGTAACACCCAGCTGTTGCGCCTCATCATAAGTTGATGCGAGCTTTGAAGACTACTCTGGAATTTCTGGTATGGCTGGCTTCTCACCCCCAATATGTGCGCAGGTTGTATGAAAATTTACGAAACTTTCCTTCAACTTGGTCGATAAAACCTATCAACTCCGCAGGTTTTTGGGAGATCTGGGCTGAGATAGAGAACGTTCGACTTGAATGAAGCACATTTGAAGCCTAACTTTCATTCGCCCCGGATGTCAGATTATGATCACAGCTATTTGATATGTGGAGAGGAATTCCCAAACGGTCGTCTGCATTCAAACTGATTGAGGCGGCGGAATTAACCTCTTGGCTTCGGTACATATCTCGTTCATTGCTCTTTGTAGCTTTGCGAATGGTGACTTTCTAGGCTGCTGGTCGATGCATTTAGGGTCACTGAACTTGGTCAGCTTGGGAAACAACGCCTACAGTCCACGCTCACTTCTGTTCAAGCGATTGGAGAGAATCGGAGCGTTTGATGCTCCTTGTGATCTCGTCAGCTTTGTAGTCTCGTCAACCAACATCTCTAAGCATTCCATCCTTGGGCAAGAGTGGTTATTCTTTCCTGTTTCATCTGTGGAGCGGCAGGGCGTACCGAGATTGGGCACGATCTCGGCGCTGATATTGGCCGACCGAGCACAAGGGGCTCTGTGCTCCAACTCCCCCCCTCTGGAATGTACAACGTGGTCCCAATTAAATGGGACACACCGCAACTTTCAAACACCCAGCTAGGCCCCCAACTCCAACCACAAGCTAAGCCTCCAGCTCACATGTGAGATTCAGCCTTAATGCGCCATCCCTAACGCTCTGCCGCCCTTCCAATAGACTTCAAAGACGACCAACGTATCTGTACTTCGTGGAGGGACGTTTGCACGCACATTCAGAGACGCCCATAATGCCCTCCATTCTCGCCACGGCGATCCAGTCTTCTTTACTCAAGGGCACCGCAAACTTCACGGCACAGATCGTCAACCAGCACAGGCAGGCCGGCGGCAGTGCCGGGGCCCCGCTCGACGTCCGTCGCGTCCTCGAGTTCGCGACCTTTGGCTTCATACAGGGCCACATCAACTACTGGTGGCAGCACTTTCTCGAAGACCAGTTTCCCAACTCGGCGTCGTCGGCCCGCGGCAGGGGAAGGAAGGCGTCCATCGTTGAGCCCAAGATCGAGAAGCCCGAGAAACCCGAGAAGGCGGCCCCCAAGAACTATTTCAATGTCGCCCGCAAGGTGCTTGTCGACCAGACCGTCGGCCTGTTCATGATGAACACGGCCTTTCTTCTCATCACGTCCGCCCTGCGCTTTGGCTTCTCTCCGATCGTCTACCAGATCTGGAGCGAGAGGATATTCGACCTCATCAAGGCTGCGTGGAAGTTTTGGCCTCTGGTGGCTATGCTCAATTTCGCACTCGTGCCCGTGGGCTATCGAGCGCTGGTAGGCATGTGTGTTGGATTTATATGGAACATGTTTCTCACGTTTTTCCTATTGTAACTTGCATGCCGGAAGGCCTTTCATTCTTTCTCTTTGTGCACATCACGGGTTGCATCAAAAAGCGTGGAGTTTTTTTCGGGTTCGAAATGGTTGATCCATGTATTCTTGCCTGCCACCTGGCTAGTCTTGGGGAGAAGACGGGCCGCACGGGGTTATTCTCGTCATAATCAATTGACTGCTCACAGCTCATCATGAACGGCTTGCTCAGCCGCCTTTCCGGCTGAAGACTTTTCATCCCCTGTCTTACTCATAGGTCCGAGTATGGTGAAAATGACCCGGCGATAGGAAACCAGTGTACCATCAGAGACCTCAAGGATGAGATGCATATGCTTGTCGTCATTCGGGTGACGATTTCTGCCTGGGGCACGGAGAGCCTCCTCTGAAGGCATTGTGACTGTGATAATGGGAGCGTCGGTATCACTCAGCTCCAGTCTGCCGACGTCTCGTCCTGGATTATTGTTGTTTGATGATGGCTCCAAGTACTGCCACCACTTGTACGTCAACTCTCCTCCGTCCGGGTCGCAAGACTCTCGCGCATCGAGCCCGATGACGTCCTCCTCCTTGACAGTCATTTTCACAATCTTGCGAGACGTGTCTCCATTCAGCACCACGACAGGGGCATGGTGAGCATCACCGAATTCAGGACTGGCGGACCACTTGATACGGGCAGCAAAGTCGTTCTGGAACGCCTCCCTCCATCTCCACACGGTCGCCTGCGAACTCATGATCGTCCTTCCCGAAACCCCTTTCAGGACGTCCACTGTATCCGCGTAATGACCCTCACCGTAGGTGACGGGTCCATATCGGCCGCCCCAAGATCCCCATTCCGGATATTCGGGGTCGGAGAGCCCGTTGGGGATCAGGTAGAGAAGCGAAGGTGTATCGCCCTCGACAATGAAGTCAGCGTCAGGATACTTCGCCCCCAACGGCCCGACACTCTGGATATTCTGCCTGATCCAATCTGGCGATATGACCTCCTGGTCTGAGAAGCTCGGAAAGTTGTAGTACTCCTCACCCGAGATGCCGCCCCACGCGGCAACGGCGTAGCGGTTGAAGTGATGGACACTGGCAATGTAAAAGAGTTGCGGCCAGTTTCGACGGATCCACGAGCCGGTATTGTCCTGATCAGAAATCGCATAAACGCGGAGCTTGGAGACGAAAGTTTCGATCTCGGAGGACGATCGCGTCGCGTTGACGTGCCACAACGCCTGCGCCAGGACGGACGCCCCTCCCCATACCGGGACCCAGAGCGGCTCGTCCGAGGCGTCGACTGCCTTTACAAGCTTGTCGGAGCCCTCGCTGTCCTTTTCTTCGCCGACGCCGTCCATGCCGTAGACCGGCAAGCCGGTAGCAATTAGGCCTTTGAGATAGGATGCTTCAGGCCAGCCGGGAGCATGTTTCTTTAGGTTTAGCAGTGCTTCGCCGTATGCGTCGACAATATCGTGCATCTGGTCTGGGCGGGTGGTATCATTTAGCCAGACACTCGTCGTCGCCACCAGGCCTTCAATCTGAAGATCATTAGCATAGGCCAGAAGTCGCACGAGCGACTGCGCATCATCGGGCTCGTTGGCGATGTCGCTCAAGAGGAATACGCGGGGCTTTTCAGGGGTTGAGGGCGTGCATTGTGACGCGAGAGATGGTACGATGCAAGAAAGGAGCAAGGTGGCTCTTGAAAGACTTGATGAACAATGCATTGTGAAGCAATACCAACAAAAACGAAGGTCGGAAGATGAAACAACTTCAAGATACTGACCTAGTGAGCTTTCTGTGAGGGGAAGTATTTGTGGTACTCCAAGCTTGCCCTTGAAGCTGGTGACTGCTGCGACGCTTCTGGTTGCCTTATTGGGAATGAACAAACATGGGTCAAAAGTCACCGCCAGCCTGAACACTGCGCCAGTCAAGCACTCTCGGACTTCTATCCGTGTGCCGAACACCAGTCTTATTCAATTCCATGACGTTTTCCAGAAGGGTAAAGATGTCTGACTTAGAAGCTGAGTATATCAAACAACCTCACGATAGCCCTTGGTGCTTAGCTTGTTCGCATGAAAACTTGTCGGATAGATATGCAACTATAAATCATCGCTTGGCGCTTAGTTGATTCTGCCCGGTAAGACCGCCTTACCCCCCCCCCCACCAAGGTATTTCGCGACTCCCTAGATATTTCAGACAAGAAGTTTCCCTTACCTCAATACCTGACAGAAATCGTTGCACAAATTACCCAGCCACTTTAAAACAGGCTTTCTACTGCGGCATATCCTTCACAGCAGATTTCCGGGCCGAGCGGCCCGAAACCCGCTTCCACAAATCTTCAACATGTGGTCTCGCGGTAACTTCTTCGTACAGGCCTATCAAGTGGATGTAAGGCATCCAGATGAAAATATACATGTCAGCAAGGCTGAAGTTCTATCGCACGTTTAGAAGAAGCCTCCAGCCTAGCAACGTAGCCCGGATAGCAAGAGGTGCATATGATCTTACATTCCCAGCTAGGTAAGCATTGGAGCCCAGGAAGTCTTCGTAATAGTCAAGTGCAGTTTTGAACATTTCAGTTGCCTTTTCCACTTGAGAAGGATACGTCGGCTCAGCTGGGCTTAGGTAGGTCGCGTTTTCAGTAAAGAATTGCTACTCAAGAGTCGAGCAGTTTGGCCTTACTTCTTCCACATCTTCTCGTTGCACAACGCCCTGACGGATGGGTCAAAGTAGGAGTAGTCAATACTGAGAGCCTTCTCAAAGTTCCCAACCGTGACTGGATCACCGCTCATGACGGCATCAAGAGAGCTAAAGGGACCGCCAAACTCGGTGACGAGGTAGCGGCAAATGGCTCGGGATTCAAAGAGTTGAAAATCTCCATCTTGGATGACAGGCATGCGACCAAAGGGGTGTTGTTCCTTGACGTATGCGGGATTCTGATGCTGATTGTCAGAGCTTCATGGATGGAGATGTGTGAATGAACTTTGAGCAGGCCACAGCTACGAACCTTTTGTTCTTCCTTCATGAGGTTAACTTGAGTCAAATCGTACTCGAGCCCAAGTTCATTGAGAGTAATCAGCACTCTGTGGACACAGGAAGGAAGATGTCACGGAGCCCCAAAGTTTGATCGACATTGTGAGTTGGTAAGCCTTGAATTTGACGAAGTATTTATCCAAGAGAGATTGAAGATTCTTTGCTTATGAGGAAAATTACTGTGAAGGGTGGATCACTGTATGACAAGGAGACACGATGTTCGAAACATGGCGACTTAACGTCTATCATCTCAAACCAAGAGAGAAGTCAGAAGGAAAATGTGCAACCCAGCCGACGGCACGAGTTTGTCAAAGCATAGGAGCTCATCGCAAGTGCTGAAGCGTTACTTTGCTTCATAATCAATCGCGGTCGCTTCTAGACTCCTTCTTCAGAACTCCTGACCTCTGGCGAGGCTCGATAACTCATAGCAGTTCTGGCCGGTTTGTTACGCGTTTTTTGCGGTTGTTCAGAGTTGCAGCAGCTCACTGGAGGTGTGAGCTGACTGTGGAGGTGCAATCACTCGGAGGAATCTGCATATTGGTGTCCGTGACCGACCGGCTGCACGCTCATAGATTTATAAGCCCCCTTCAGGAACATATCATCCAGACCAGTGCCTTTGTTTCCAGTTCTGATTTCTAAGCACTTATCGTTTGTGTTTGTTCTGTGGTTACTGGGAATGCAGTTCGCCTTCGATGACTTGCACCGCAGGGCGGACTCCGGAAAACAATACATTGAACAGGCCGAATTGTAAGCTGAGGTAATTCATCAGACGCACCTGCAAAGACACATTATGATTTTCAGCTCGATATACTACCGAGAAAATTCGATAATCAGGTCTTTCAATGATTCAAAATTGTCGCTTCGTGGAAAGTCTAGGAAAAAGATGGTTTGAAAAATATAGCAGCACAATGACTTTGTTGACATTCGCGCCAACGAAACGGAATATAAATGCTGATGCAAATACTCAATGTTCTGGGCATGCATATCCCACCAAGATGAATTTTACCGTCCGAATGCTAACATAACGACTCCAAGTTATAACCTGAAGACCTAAAGAGAGGAGAGGTAAGTTAATAGAGACACAATTCTTACTCCGTACTTCCAAAGAACCTGTCATTGACGGCGTACCCATTAGACCATAGTAGACTAGCCTGAGCCACTGTGGCTGAGGAAGCCTTAGGTAATGCGCTGCTGCTACAGTACATACTATGTACGGAGTAGAACCCTTGAACATCCTCGGCTTAGACCCGCCGTCGGCCCTGCCCCACTCGAAGCCAATAACGGGGAAAGGGAGTCACGACTCGCCAAGAGATTTGCTCGGCTGATTCCGAACCATAACCACCGTAATCTGCAGACAAGGGGCTCCATGTCAACGATGCCCGCGAAAACAGCCGCTGTAATCTAGTCAGAACCCAGATTGATGGAAGTCCCAGTCTTTCTGTTAGAGTTTGGAAGTTTTTATCAAACTCTCAGAGGGCATCTGGAAGAGCAGTGTCCTGAATCCTCTCGGCTTTAGCCGGAATGACCTAGAAAGTGAGTACTTTATCAACCCCTATCCCACCTAATTGCTGACGGGAAAATATTTGCCGTCCGCCACTTCCGGCATACGAGATACGGGAAACGCTTGTACGGACACTTCAATCTTCAGGACCATGGCGACAAGGCTCGTGCAGGTGATTTACAGAGCTGTCGTACGATCGAGTCACAAATCCTGAACTTAGACCTATAATCGAGGCCGACAGAAACGGAGTCAAGACGTCAAACGGGAACTTTACAGGGCAGTTCGGAACACAGCTTACTAGCGCTCTGGATTTGTTGCAGTTTAGCCCGGCTACGGTAGTCGAGACAGCGCGATTGTATTGCTTCTAGTGCCGCCAAAGTATATGAATTCTGTGGGAATTCTGGAGTTACAGATGCTTATTCTTGGTCTAGGTTCACACTGAGGGCAAGCCGCAGCGGTTGTACAATATAACTTGATGCATTATCTTTTACAATGTGTGTGCAGTCCTGGCTTTATCATACGATAACGTCGCTCAAAACAAATTTCCCAGTACAACCCCGCCCAAACTCCAGCCCGATGCGAATTTTGTGTCCTCTAAATCCCGGCCCGAATCATTAGACATTACGAATATGTGCCCCTCAATCACGCTGTATCGTGACGGTTTTGGTCTGTAGAATCGCCTTGTCGCTCATATCGTCGGCGCTCTCCCTCCCACCGGCAACTACTACGGATGAGAAGCCGGGGGGTCTTCTTCGTTCATCCTCTTGCGATCGGAGTGGAAGGTATGCATTTCGTTCTCGTCCGGAAACTGTTCGTATTGTTTTCTTTGACGGCTTTTCATGGCATTCGTTGATCTTTGATGCGCGTATGACATTCGATAACCGCCGACTGCGTAAGATGATGGGTTCGTGGAGGAGCCCATGAGCTTTGGCGCGAAATGCTTGAAGAACTTTCGTAGGGTGGGCATCGAGCCGCAAATCACAAAGAGGTTGGCTTCAACGAAACTATGCATAGTAGGGGTTAGGACAATGAAGAGACAAAGAAAGCAGTGATCAGGAGCACTTACGTCCAGATATTCGCAGGGGCAGCATCCCATGACGGATCTACACTGACGAGTAGTGGGGGTAGGTAGGTCAATCTAACGATGGAAGTCGCCACGGTCCTTTTCATGAAGTCAGTGGGAAATACTTGATTGAGCTTTGAGGGATAAGTGCCGCCTACATTGATCCAATAGCAAAGATTATAACGGCGCCGATCTTTGATGCCATCTTCATGCGAAGACTGAAGATCATAGGCATCGGAAGAATGAACAGCATGACATCAGTGATGATATTAGACACAGCCGTGGCCATGTACAGAATGCCAACGTCGAGGCACTTTCCGCCGGTGATGGTGAAGTCAAAAGCTTTCCTGACGGGATTGCAGTGGAACAGCATCAGGATAGTGATGCATGCTGTATACAGCGAAACCACAGCAATACCCGTCCATACTGCTATTCTAAACCACTTCTGGGGTGAAAGATGAAGATAAAATGTCAAAAGAGACAATTTTGTAAAGCCATTGCACAGCATGAAGACGGGCGCTGTTACGTAGGTTGTCTGTATCATGTCAGCATCCTATGGCAATTAGGGGCTTTTGTGATAGACTCACGATGGAGTAGCGCACGAATCTTGACATTGGCATCTCCCAGGCATGAGCGCACATGCCACCTTCAGCAATAGAAGCTGCAGAACTCTGGTCAGCTTCAAGTGACCTACAGCATGCAAGATGGGCCAGACATACCAACAAGCATTGCTTGAGTGACCACGGAGGCACCCTGAGTGAAGGCAGGTTAGACAGTGATCTGGTAGCCAAGGAGCTGAACAGCGATCAGTGGATCGTCGAGCCGAACTTACCCATCCCAGAAACATGAAAGCTTTCAATAGTCAGTTTTTTGGCGAAATACTAGGTCGATCAACCAAGGTAAACTCACCATCGTCAACTTGCAGCCCTTTTGAAAGGAATAATTTGGTGTAAAATCTTTGGCACAGGGCAATGAAGGCAATAGTACCACCAACACCAAAGAGCAGGTAATGCTCCAGCACCTTTTGCTGCCTCGGGTGGTCAAAGTCGACCGTGACGCCCGGCGGGGCTGGGATCACAGAGACTTCAGACATGTTGCCAGTAAAATGGTTCAGATTCGCAAGCAACCGAAATCTTGGGTCTAATGGGGGAAAAAAAGAGCAGCACCCGATCTAGCGTATATACATGCTATCGTACTGAGTTCTGACGGAATTCACCTGCCATAGTCCGTGACCACATTCGGGTGTACCGAGGGTGTAAAGGACCAGGGTCCAACGTAGAAAATTCGGGCCTCCCCCTTCGACGAAATTGCATGCTTCAAGCACTTTCTCCCACATCTTCTCTTTTAACGGGATGAACTCTGGACGGTGCCGTGGAGGGAGCATGGATCACTCAAGGTCCCTTTGAGAACTCCTGGAGTCTCGATAAGTGTGATCTGGCGCGACTCATGTAATTGGTATCCATCTCAACGGTCAAATACTTATGAGGTCTATGCTTCAGCGCCAGGATAGGCTTTCTTTGGTGTAGTGCACTCGATTTCCTGTTAAAACTATACTCGCTGTGCTTATTGCTCGAGATCTTGACCTGGTTGTTGCGCAACCGAGCAGCTTCTCATTCGTGGGATCGCTGCCCTTCCAAAACTAATAAGAGGCACAGTGTTTGCTGTACGATCGACGCCCCGATCGAGAAGTTTGGTCCGAACTCATAATAAGGTTCCGTTGTTGGAGAGTGTTGGAAGTTGTCTCTATGGACTGGGATTGCTGGTCCAGCCCCGGTAGTTGGGCTGGTGTAAGGTATGGTAGAAGAGGAGAATGACCAGTCACAAAGCGGGCCGCCGAAACTGGGGTCGACAAGGGGTTGGGACAGCCCTGACAAAAGGACCGATGGCTCCAATCTCCAAGATAGAGAAACGTCATGCCCATTGGGTCCCGGCTACCAGTTACCCTCGCTCTCGCAGCCACCCATCATTGTGCTTGGGATCAGGGGTGGTGAAGACTCGAGAGATTTGCTGCGGTATTACAGAGTAATCCGCGACCGAGCCCTCAGATTCTCCGCCCTTTCCGTCAGATCTTGGTCAAAGCTAATAGAATAAGACAACGACCCCAACACACGTACCTGAATGGAACCCATGGTGCGGCACAGGAATAACCCACTCCTTGCTGATACACGTATGGATCTAACATCCTGGAGGCGTATCCATGAAAAGGCGGAATGGATTAGAAGGACCTCCGTCATACGGGCAACATCATCCTCCTTTCCTTGAGAGGGGAGTCACGGAGCAGAGCTTCTGCTTCCTCGGAGGCGATCGTTATAATATACTTTGCATGCCCATTTTTGGCCTATAAAAACCACCAGCGGTTCCCGCGTTTGCCATGGATAGGGCAAGTAAATCTGCCCAAGCTTCACCAGCATGACTCGCCTTCCACAATTTGAAAAGGGAGAATAAGGAGGCGGCTGTTCAAAGATTCGGAGATGAGCTTGTTGGAATTGATGTCGCGGCAGAGGATTATCCCTCATCGACCAACAACATGTTCGAGGTCGTTCAGGAAGCGAGGCCCACCGGATGCAACTTTGGCTCTTGGCGAAGCAAACAATGTTTGTGGGAATCCTTCGTAGAATCCAAAAAATCCCGCGGCAGAGCGGCAGAGCGGCAGAGCAGCAGAGCAGCATGTCATTGTTTGCTTCGATAAAAGTGGTTTTGTGGTTGATAGCGGGAGGCGAGTATTGTTGTCGATTAACTTGGTATGCAACGGGGAGGCGGGCACGAGATGGGATCGAGCCAAGTTCACCGGCGTTGTATTGTCTACAGCCCTATTCCCTGCTCTCCGAGACAGGGAAGACCAGACTGCCAAGTCGGAACGTCTGAATTTTGTCAGCACTTATTGCCTAGCAGCTCTTGGTTCCGAAACCTCGAGGAAATCATCCCGGAAAAGGTCGCACTGCATGTTGGACATATTGTAGAAATGGGGGCGGAACAACGCTTTGCAGGTCAGCTCTCCGCCCCCCAGACACAGTCGTGACGAGAATGAAGTTGCTGGCTCTAGATCTTCCGCCTGATTGCGTTCTGGTGGCTAATGTAACCTGATTCCAACACGTCTTGCCACAACTTGGCCGGGTGCTGACCGATTGCAAAGGCAATACACGACCCAAACGAGGATTGAAGCTCCGAGAAGCAGCAAACATGATCCTTCGGCCCCATTAACAAGCTGAAGATTACTCCTCTTTTTCTTTGCAACTTTCCACTTGACCTACCGGATTCATGCGGGTTTTCATCGGTCCCTGTGTGGACGGCGGCTTGCGGGATTGAACATGCCCGCTAGTTGCATTAGATCAAATTACATCGACTCATGCTGGTCTTCCAACGAGGGCACTAGCTCGCGGTGGAGGCGAGGTCGGTCTGAACTTAAAACTGCGGACTCGGAAGGTACTGGAGATTTGATCGCTCATTCAGAATACAACGGCAATAGATATTCGCTAGAACACCTCGAGAGTTTCTAGTCTTTCTCATCCTCTCACCTGGTCTTGCTGCCGTCCAGTCAACAACCCCGATCCTCCCATCAGATCACCCCCACGCAACGACGACGGGAGCTCGTGCGCAGACACACACTCACACACACAGAGTCAAACAAACTCTGGTAATCATGAGGTTCTCAACGGGTTTGTCGATCTTGGCCTTGGCTACCTCGACTGTCTCAGCAAGGGGTCGCAGTCCTCACTGCGTGTGTGTACGTCACCCTCCCTTCCCCCCTCTCATCCACTCCCACTGGCGATCATTTCTAACTTTGGCCCCATACAGTGCTCTGCTCTTGCCCAAGATCAAGACCTTCAAGGCAAGGTCTACTCAAAGGACAACTCATTCTACGATGCGCGGTTAGAGACATACTACTCTGCCAATGCTGCCCAAGCTCCTTGGTGCATGGTGTTGCCCGAGAGCACCTCGGACGTGACGAAGATCGCAAAGATCTTGAATAGAAACCAATGTCCTTTTGGCATCCGCAGTGGTGCTCACTCGGCTTTCACTGGATCCAATGGTGTCAAGAAGGGTGTCACCATCGACTTTGGTAAGCACTCCAACTGATAATCCATGACATGGGACGCATCATGTGTTGACAAACGCTTTTCTCCAGGTTACATGAACACCACGACATACGATGAAGGAACAAAGATTGCTTCGATCCAGCCTGGCTCAGACTGGGAAAGGGTCTTCTCTACCCTTGATCCCTATGGCGTTGCTGCTGTTGGTGGAAGAGCGTCAGTTGTCGGTGTTGGCGGTTTCACAACGGGTGGCGGTGTAAGTGAACCCAATTTGGCGTCTCATAAACCGTCGCCGTCTCAAATATCTCGAAGATTTACTAATACTCAAGATCTAAGTACTCCTTCCACACCAACTCTCATGGCTTTGCTTGCGATTCGGTTACCAATTTTGAGGTTGTGCTTGGGGATGGTTCCGTTGTGAACGCCAATGCAAACGAGAACGCAGATCTCTGGAAGGCCCTGAAGGGAGGTTCAGGAAACTTTGGTTTCGTCACTAGAATCGATGCTCGTAAGTTGCTCATACTATAATATGGTGTTCTTCACTAATACATCCCCTATAGGAACTGTTGACTCGACACAAATGTCAGGTGGCTTCGTGAGCTACAACCTCACAGAGAGAGACAACGTCTTCAACGCCTACCTGAAATTTGCCAACAACATGGACAATGACCCCTATAGCCAAAACATTGTCGCTCTATACTACGATAAGACCGGCTTCAGCTTGCGATCTATCCTGACCAACGTCCAAGCCAACATGGACGCGCCTGCTTTCGACGACTACTACGCGATCCCCAACATCTCCAGCACTGTCCGTGTTGGTACTGTCGCCGAGCTCGTTCCGGAGTTCACTGGTCCCACTCCCTTGGGCCTGTAGTAAGTTGTTCTTCGTAGCACGACCCATGAGGCGGTTCTGACACTATGTAACAGCGCAAATTGGATGGTTGGCCAGACCACCAATGATTTCCGTATCATGGACTTCATCGACACCAAGCTGAAAGAATATTCAGCCAAGATGAAGGAAGCCGCGCCCGAGTCCGACTTCAACGTCCTTGTCCAGTTCCAGCCCGTCACCCAATCCATCGTCAAGCACGGCCTCGATAACGGCGGAAACTCACTCGGCCTGGAGAGTGTTGTTGCGGATGGCCCTACCATCATGTGGCTCATTGCCTTGACTGTCGATACCCCTGCGAACCAGAAGTTGATCCTCCCTTTTGCCCTCGAGTTCCGTGCCGCCATCGATGAGTACGCCAAGGAGATTGAGGCGTACAAGGAATGGAAGTACCTCAACTACGCATGGAAGGACCAAGACCCGCTCTCGACCCATGGCCAGGAGACCATTGATTTCCTCAAGTCAGTCTCAGAGGAGTACGATCCCGAGCATGTCTTTCAGAACCTCCGCAAGACCGGTTTCAAGCTTCCTGCTTAAGAGTCCTTCTGAGTTTGGCCGGAACTTTGGAGATTAGATTCTACAAGGGCCATACAAAACGATTCGCGTAAATCACGGCACATGCAGGTTACGGGGAGCTGCAAAGATGGACATGATCTTTGATCTTTAATCCTATTCTACTATTCATTGTAACTAATTGGCACCTCATCAATATCCTGTATCAATACCCTGCATTCAGACGAGTATCTTCTTATCTTAGTACATAACCCTATTTTCTCTTTTGTATTTATAGACTACAAACCTATCCTTTAGATAGTTGATACAATATGCCTACATCGTCTTTACACTTATTTATCCCATCGACTGCGAGATAACGCCAGTACATGCACCTCCAGTTTTCTCCAACGGGGAGCTTCTTGATTGGTTGCACCGAGCGGAATTGAGACGGGTTCTAGACGGATAATCATGGAATAATATACGATTTGCTACTTCCCCTCACGAGAAGTAAGTACTCATGTACTGACGTTATCTCGCAGTCGATGGGATAAAAGATTACCTCAAATGTCGATGATTGGTTTTCCATCGAGTCGTAATAAAAATAGGCCCATGAATCCGATGTGCCATTTTCTTTGTTGACTTAGGCTATGCTGCTCATCCAGACCTAGGCTGCCAAGTTTTCAACCAACCTCGCCAGCTATCTGATATTCAACAGCCAAAAGCTTGGTATGCACTCGAGAGTCGCGTTCGCTAAGTGAGCTCGTCCATTAATTGCCAAAGACTGTCGGGAAATGCTTCCCCGTAATTCTCAGCTTCAGTAATGGTTATCTCTTGCCACTCAGCAGGAAAGATCTCTCCAAGTAACAGGTCCTGGGAGACGAAGTCGTATGGTGATTGTTGCATTGTTGCGTCGTTTGAATTCTGCTCAAGACTTGAGGCGACTTGTGCAGCGTGATTCCGAGGCAGCGCCTCCACAGCTCTGTACTGGCTTTCAGGCTCATTGTTTCCCAGAGAAGTAGGGTCTGGGGAGGAGACTCCGTTCATCATCTTTCGAAAGAGCGCCAGTACGACATCATAAGCGAATCCTGCCATGGCATTCCGCGGCCTCATTGCATCTAGCCTTGCCAAGCCCCATTCCAAGCGGTTCACCGATTCTGCCAGAAGATGTTGCGCATCATCCGGGGCTCGAATGTAGGTTGCTGCCACTAGAACCATGGCATCGAATATAGAGAAGACAAGAGCGAATCCCCTATAAAGTAAAGCCCCCGCGTGTTCGAACAGCCTGCTTTGTGACGCAAGCATCTTCAGCGCGGCCGTGTGTGCCTCTACTCGACTTGCAGACAGTGTGGTTATGAAAGGGCGATGCAGTGCGAGCAGGACAAAATAGACCTCAGTAATGAGTGTCTCGCGAGCCGCAGGGAGCCAAGGGTATCTGCCGTCGAGTACCGGAGTTGCAGAGGTTGCCCATGCCGGGAGTTTGGAAATATTGCTGATCACGGCGTTGTGTATTTTCTGAACGGTCTCTTGCGCATCCTTGTTCTCAACCCCAAGATCGTGGATATCCTGTAGATACCTGTAAGCAGCATGATAGCCACATACCATGAAGTCGAATGGGGATATCGTTACGTCGTCTAAGTCTGACGGATGCGGCGCAACTGTCAGGCTCGTCACCTTGGGCACGCAGCTCGAGTCCAATCTGGTCGTCATGGGCCTCCCGAGAACAACAGCCATGTGCGCGTCCCAGAGATGCAACATAAACCACAATTTCTTCTCCAGTGGGAATACCGGAATTTGTATATCGTGTTCGGCAGGCGGACTTGTCTCCCAAACACTACGTGTGTGCAAGCCAAGTTCTTGGGCGTCTCGGATCGTTCTTCCAAGTGTGTGCCAGGCTTCGATAACTGAGCCATTGCTCTTCTCGAAAAATGCCTCCATCAGTCCAGCCCGAATTCTGTTGAGAGAGATGTCTTTACTCCCAAGCATCACCATGATTTGATGGCCCACACTGCTATAATCCGCCGCCAGGTCGGCAAAGTCGATATCAGGTGCGTACTTGAGGCCCTGCAGTGCTTCGTCGTTTTCATCAGGGTGGAATTGCAATGCGAGTGCAAGAACCTGAAGGAGTAAAGCAGGGAAGGCCCGGATGCTGACAGACAAGTTCTCGGGGCCAAGATTCAACGTTGCGGAGGAGATGTGATTCCAGTTTGATAGCTCGTCCCGGAACCTTGAGTAATCAATAACATCGTATTGCCATGCAACATTGTTGAAGAACGATTCCACAAGGATATTAATGTGCTCCCTTTGTGGTAGCTTCCTTACGAGTTTCACGTAGTGAACTGCCGCATCATGGTTCCGTGGCCTTCCACCGCGGGAGGCTGAGTCATGGCTCAATGCCCCGAGTTGGGAAACAATCTCAAGGGTCCCTTTGACATTGACAGAGTAACCGAGTCGCTTGGATAGCTCATGAGCAGTGACGGACGTCTCCTCTCCACCAGGCGTGTTGTCGGATGACGACTGGGATGGACTTGTTGACAGATCTGGGGCTGTTCTGGGTTGAGTTGCCAATTTCTCAGCACCCACGTATTTTTGTTCGGTATACTCATAATGGCAAAGTCCCTGAATTTTGTAAGTGTAGTTCAACACACTCGTGGGGGAGAGGGCCATACAGGCTTGCCTCGTCGAGAGCAATGAAAACACGGATGCTGTCGATCGCACTGGTGCTAATCAGACCAAGGTAAGCTACCTGCCAACCAAAAAGCTTACTTTCTGTTTGCGTCTGTGACATTCTGAACATGAGATCACCAGGCGCTTCTGCCTGTGCGATGGGCGGGCGCTGGAAGTATCAACTCCCCAGCTATACATCATGAAAAGCCTAGCTCAGCATATGAAGAGAGTTGAGGGGTTGATCGACACATCGCTGGCGCTGAGGGGATTTGTATGAGGACCGATCCCTGTTTACATAATCGCACATGCACAGGCCACTCGGCCAAACTTAAAGCCAGTTCCCCCTTCCGGTAATTGGTAAGGGAGACCGCGAGCGGCTTGCACAGGACGTCGGCAGCTTTGCCCGGATGGAAGGATTTTGCCATCGGCTGATCGGCTGGTTTTGCGCTTACTACAACAACTATCATCGTCCACAAAGTTCGGATACCGCGCGAAAGGGAAATTCCGGTAACATTAGTGGCGCCTATTGCTGCCGTTCAACGCCCCATGGCAACGCAATCTCTTATTTTTGGTGCCTTTGCTGATTGTTCACAGGATTATGAATAGAAGCTTACGATGAACACGGTGCTAATACGTACTCTCACCATTTTAATTAAGTATCACGAGTTTGTCACCAATTTGAAGGTTTTGCCTGCATCATCAACTGCAGATGGCAAGATCAAGATGAGTTAGTTTAATTGAAGACTTAGACTCGTTGATTTACACCTTTGTCTGTCCAAACCAAGCCGCGATCTCACCAACGTTCCTATCCACAATATCCGGCTGCTCGTAGTGCTGGAAGTGCGAGATATCAGCGTCCCAAATCAGCTTCTTCTCCTTCGTCGGAATCGACTCATAATGTCTCTTGGCTGCAGCGGCATTCATGCAATTATCACCATGAATTACCAAAGCTGGCTTAGTGAGCTTGGACACACCATCGACCGTGGAATAGCCAAAATGGTCCAAATCGCTCATGACCGCATACCGATTCTCGAAACCCTTCAAGGTCCAGGGGCCATACCACGACCATACGATCGGTCCTGGAAGCCCGGCAAGAGAGCCAACGTTCGGGTCCGCAGCTTTGGGGTCGACGAGAGGTTGGTAGATGACTTCCCCGGTCTTTTCGTACAGGGCTTTGGCCTCTTTGGCTCGTTTGATGCGCGCATCGTAGAGGGCTTGTCCTTGCTCAGGTGTAGGCATCTTCAAAGCTCCTACGTCAACACCTGGCTCGACATTGACACACCCCGAGCAGATCATCCAGATATCCGTTTCGCGGTCGCGGTAGTATCCCGTGACGGAAGCAACAGCGACAACGCGGTCGTCGTAGGACGCCACATCAAGACACTCGGGGCCTCCCTGACAGACGCCTACGAGGAATAGTCTCTTTGCATCCACGTCGCCCCTACCAGCGAGATAATCGAGACCGGAGACCACGTCTTCGTTCTTCATCACAGGGTTTTCCAAGCGGCGTGGCTGGCCGGTGCTCTCTCCGACAGTGCGTGGGTCGAAGATCAAGGCCGCGTAGCCTTCGTCAGCCAGTCGTGTGGCATACTGCAACGGAGCTTGCTCTTTGACAAACGAGTAGGGGCCTAGAACCACGATCCCGGGCGGGTTGGTGATGCCTTGAGGCTTGTAGAGAACACCAGCGATAGTCTCTCCATGAGACGGGTAGGTAACCTTCTCAGTAGTGTAGCGGCCGTGGACACCCATTGTGATCTGTAAAGATGATGGATTGGTGAGATGGAGTAGTTGAATAATAGAGTGGGAAATTGATGTGTAGATGCTTATGATTCTGCAACAGATAATCTCTCTGCAGAATCAAGTGGTAAAGGTAGCTTTTATATGCGTATCTCAGAACTTCAAGGCCTGTATTCATGTTGCCTTACATGCCATGTTTCTGTGTTTTCGGCGAAGAGACCCACTATTCTCGGTGTCGGTATCCACTTTTTTCGGCGATGGCTGATGAAAATCACCGACAGCCAAGCCTTGCTTGGTTGCATCCGTTGAGCTGATCGACGCGATGGGGATACGACGAGCCTATGTCCGAGACATTCGGTCCAGACAAACTGTGCTTGCTGTGAAAGGCTCAGCTGTTGAGGTTTCCATCGACCCGACGCAAATGGCGTTATGTGATGTAGGGCGGAACCTACTACGTTGACAATTCCATAACGAGTAAGGCCACCTCTGTGCCATCTAGATAATCCTACCTAGCGACAGCTGGATGAGGGCACTGCTTTTGTCAATGGTGATCAGCGAATACCTGATGTTCTCCATTTTTGAACATTTGCTGGGCTCATGGAGTCCGTGAATGTCTGTAGACAGGAACAGGCGATAGCCTGGAATTCTGTTCACTAATACGCTTCCGAATACTGGCGGGACTGATAAGGTGGCAACCGATGTGTCTGCCAAGAATACAATTAAGAAACACAGTATACATGCCTCACCAAGCTCGCGGCATTCACTCTTTGCTCAATCTTCAGACAACGACGCCTGCAATTTTCAACCACCAACCCCCCCGCTAATTACCCGACCGCCGTAGTATGGCACGAATACACCACCGCGATAGCCTCCACCAACACCGCCAACTCGACACGCGCGTTTTCCAAAGCCATCGGATTCGAATTCTTGTAACGGAATATCGGCCGGGAACAGTTCGTGCCGCTTTTCGAAAGCGTCGGCGCTGTCGTATACTTGTGCGTTCTTTAAGTCGACTTTCGAGCCGATGGCGTGTTCTTCTTGGCTGTTGAACATGTAGTACGTTCCGGGAGTTGCTTGGCCGTCGCAGTTGGCTTCGGCTACAACTTTCTCTTGTACGTCGGCACAGTAAACCTTGCCAGCGCTGGCACCTTGTACAAATAGAAAAGCTGCCGCTGCAGCTCGTAGGCCGTTGAGGTCTGTATGGTGTTTCATGATAGTCGGACTTGAATGCACGATGAAGACTTGATTTAGGACTGTCGGGACTCGTCGCGGCGTGCGAATTTCTTGAATGCGTGCTGCCCTTATTATAATTCGCTGCCAAGCTGCTCACGAGTTGACACTCGTAATAATGAGACGTGTGCAGACTGATACCCGGCGCTGTTCGTATTCAGCGATATAATCTGCGACGAATAAACTATAACACAGACTGGACTCAATCATGTGCTCAGCTAAAGATGAGTTGAAAGGAAAAGACCTCTATGATTTTTACTCAACAGGATTTAATTTCGAATCTGGCGCTGAGTCAAGCCTAAAGAACAATCAAGTAAGGTTCTGTCAGTGCCAAATCGTATGTAGGGATAGCGGGGAACAAGTACAGTGGTCTCACTGGTTCGTTATGGGATGTCGGGTTGCCCGATCCCCTAAGATGTGCGTGCTAAGGCTATCAAAACCTACTACAAAGTACCTAGTTTCATGCACCGATGGTCTTCATTTCCCCGACTCAGTAGACCTGGGCAGCTTTAAGCAAAGTGACTTCCCTCTTCAAATATCCCCCTCTATCTCCCCGCGACGCCCACAATGGGGCGAACTACCATGAGGTTAATTATACGAGTCCATCAAACCTTGCGACCAGAGACATCGCAGTGCGTCGGTAGCCCTCCCGGACTCGCGGCAGAAAGATAAATACATTGGCATGTCCTAAATGACACCAGAGCCAAGTCCCGCTTGCTTGTCATCTCTTTGTGATCACTCCTTCTGAGACACTTGTTCTCTTACATTCGTTGAAAATGCGCTTCTTTTATTTGCTTCCACTCTTCGCTTCGGCGGCAATTGCTGCTGATCAAGGCAAAGGTTGCGGGACAGTAGATGCTATAGATTGTTCGGGGAATAATATTGTAAAGTGCTACACTTTTCCGGGGAGAAGTGGACTGACCTGGAACTATGTAAGTTTTTGTTTCTAAAACCTTCATCCACCAGAACCATTGGAGCTGACTTCAATCAAGGTCGACTCATGCGCGGACAGAGGACAAGTGTGTAGATCTGGCGCTTGCGACACAATTCCAATTAGTGCCAACCAAGGCAAGGGCTGCGATTTGAAGAACGCCTTTGGATGTTCTGGGAACAACATTGTGCAGTGCTACACTTTCCCTGGCAGGAATGAAATGACCTGGAACTATGTGCGCAATCAGGCCCTCCATCGAATCGTTCCAGTTGAGCTGACTAGGCTTTGTAGTATCAATCATGTGCGGATAAAGGCCAAATTTGTAGCGGCAATGTTTGCCAAGCTTGCTGAATATCTTGCGATTGAGTAATTATTGCTTCAGGGTATCAACATACTAGCGATCAACTTGTTGTGAAGAGAAAACATCAAACCAAGAGAGTATTGTCCATGATCCAATTCAGTCAACCAGCCTCGACCAGGCTTTGGCTTTCAATGCCTTGATGTTTCTTCGGATCATGCAGTCCTGTATCGGATGAAGACTACGTCCTCCTCCTTAGGTAATGTCCGACGAGGCTACGCGTCAGCTGATTAGGCTGGTTATCCTGTGTTTATGTTTTCGTCCAAGGGAGTTGAGTTGGATGGTTTCCTAAGTGGCCCTGAAACTACAAATTCCCATACTGACCTTGACCCTCTGGCATCTGATGTCGTAATCGGCGCTTCAAGACTTCCGTCGGGACCGTCTTGTCCAAGAGATTGGCAAGGAACCTTCTAGGGTAGGCAGCGCGATCGTAACTCCAGGAAAGTTCAGTTCCTTTTCACTGGAGACTTGGAACTTTGACCGAGCTTCGTTCGATTCTTGTCTCTCCTTGTAGAATCGTAAATCATCGAACTCAGAGGGAATATCGGAGAGTTCCACATCCGCGTTGATGGCGCCACTAGCAACTTCGTTTCTTGCACTTTTGGTGATGAAAAACCCATTAGAGAGTGTGACTGAGGCAGAAGGGTTGTGGTGGAAAGTTGCTGTGATGAAAGTGTTTATTAGACTGGGCTTGCGGTTCGAGGAGATGGCCTCGAGAAGGATGACGACTTACTCAGATCAGGAAAGCAAGACCTTTGTGCCTCCTTGACAAAGCTGCTCAGTCTCTCCAAGTTGGAAGCCGGACGTCTGTTGATTACATCTCCATGCTGTTCAATAACCTCTTGCACTTCCAGAAGCAGTTCTAGCTTGTGTTGCGGGTGACTGGCTACCTGGGTCATACAGATATTGTACGATGGTCGTTGTGGTAGTGTGGATGCTTGCAGCGCACAAAGGCATCTGATCATGATTCATCCATCTGAAGTCGTAAATTGTCGAGGTACCGGCCGTCGTCTTTGACGTAGTCCAAAACGCTCGGCGGATCAGACAGAGGTATGAGGTCATTGGCCTTTTTGTTGTTCATCTGCCTTACAACCACGTTCTCGCCATTTTCTGTACTGTTCGACAAGATCCGAAAAGCCTGAGAAGGCTGAGAGTTATTCGTACAAAACCGGGAAGGAAAGAGTGACATTGCTTTGCACCTACGGCGTAGACGATTTGACTAATGATAAACGTGCCCGCTATGTCAAGAAAGCCTTCATCTTCGGTAGCATCGCGACCAAGAAAGCCTTGGACGCTAAATGATGGCAGATCACATGTTGATAGTTACTCAAGCCAAGTCGACGCAGCTGCTGAGGTTGCCTCTGGATCCATGTCGAAATCTCCAAGATTTGAGTTCTATGATGGATTAGCAGTCAATGATTAACATATGACCGCAATGAGTGAGTGTTCAGTGTGACTCGTGGAAGAGACTACTACGTTATCTGTGCGACAGGCATAACGATGTCGGAAGCCCAACTTATTGTTAAGACACAATTTGAAGGAAATCCTCGCGGCGCCAGTAGCCCGGCAGTGCACGTATCTCTAGAGATATCTTTTGGCGTTAAGGGAACGCGCATAATCGAATCATTCGAGCAAGGCACAGGATTGCGACACTTAATTTTGTAGTTGAACCGCCCCATGAGATGATGGTTGTTCCTGATGTCATTCCTGATGGTAGATGAGGAAGCATCGTCGAGCGCCCAACGCTGTCTTGGCGCGGGGTTTATGTCAGGCAATTAGGCGGTCCATGTTCGCCGACGCGTATTTACGAGGTTCTTCGGGTCAATACCGGTCACATTCATGGTGCAACCTTGACGGCCCAGGTCAGGTGGTACCTTGATAGATACAAAGTTGAGCGATGAAGACATGGAACAAGGGTAACTTGCATTAGCTTCGGGCATGTTGCAACCATACAATTCTTGCCTCGCTTCATTCAAGCGAACGCAGGATCGTAGGCTCCTATGAGCAGATTTCATTCGGCAAGAAACAAGCTGTGGCTACGTTCCCAGAAGTATGCAGTGCTGTCAAAGTCTTAACTCACAGCTCACAAATTTGTTCATGATCAAGAGCTCTTCCAGGAAAGAGAGATTCTACATCAGGATTCCGACAGTACCACGATATATTCTGCAGGCTGCAAATCGGCCAAGTCAAGTGGAGGAGCTCACTTTATTCGGACTAAGGCCTGCAATCCCCAGACTCATTTGGCAACAAAAGCTATCAAGATGATGGGTGCTTCAAGAATAATTGTAAGACTACTCAAGAAACGCAATGGCGAATGGTCTTCCCAGCAGTGAATTGTAAATAGGTGACGCCTCCGGGCATAATGTGTTTTATCTTGACCTGATCAACGTTTTCTTTCCTTCGCTGGACAAATCTTCTCGGTCTCGACCTGTATCTCTGACGCAGAAAGTTCAGTAATGATGGTTTCTATCCGGCTTAAAAACTATCTTTTGTTAACTCTCGGTCATCACGTCCCGAGCCGAGCCGCGCCTCAGCACCAATTGCAAAGAAGAGCATCTACGGATCAGCACCTGTTCCATCAATCCGACTCAAATGGCGCCTGGTTTGATCAAGTCGCAGCTCTTGACGGAAGCTCTGAATCATCCAAGAACACCAATATCTCCATTGCCATCGTTGAAGCCGGTATTTATGGTCTGGCTATAGGCCTAATGCTGGATAGTGTTGGCGTTCACAACTGGGAGCTCATCAAGGCTAGCGACCGCGTTGGAGGAAGATTCCGAACTATCTTCGTTGGCGATATATCCCGGCATACCATCGAACGGAACACAACACCATCTTTATTGGTGAACACACAGCTCCGACTCATGCTTGGATCAGCTCGTCTCTGCACTTCTCTGTAAGAGGTTCAGTACAGCTACTATTGGAGTTGGCATTGGTCAATAAAGCAAAAGAACTCAATGCAAAATGGATGGGTAAATGGATCAAACGAGGCAAATGGGTCTCATTTTTTGAGGGTTGCAAATGGTGTGGCCTGCGGCCCCCAGAGAATTACTTAGTGACCGCTCCGAGTGGGAGCCGGCAGTCCGATAAATCAGATGGTTCTTCACTGATTTCTCCTGATCAAATTCGTCTGCCAAGGGCTTGCTAGCATTGGAACCGGATTTTGTCTACTTTCATGTTCCCTAGAATTCGTAAATTAGACTCATTTATAATCTTGAACAATTTAAATTTCTCAACGAGAACAGTGTTCGCTTTTGAAGTAACATATTCTCAACTAATTACTTGCTATCTTGGCCGCGACGGAGAGCTGTGGAGCTATTCCTACGTCGTGCGGCAAATCATCCGATTCTTAATGGCGTGCCAGCTTCAACCGACTAGGTATCTCCGCACCTTGATAGGCATGGATCAGCGATTTCGGAAGCATTAAAGTATATCGCTCCCCGCCTCTCGCAGCGTCGCGGCGCTCCGCATCTTCTGGGTTGACAAGAAAAGCAAGCGAGAAGCAGAGCATCATGTCTGAGCCCAAATCAGTCGCCATCGTGGGCGGTACGTGCAGAACACAGAGTGAGAATTTGCAAACAATTGATTGATTTCTGTCAGCTGGCATTTTTGGCCTCTCTTTGGCCGTTGCTCTGAGCAAACGTGGTAAGCGCGCCTTGCTACCATACCCGGATGTGGCCCTCGAGCTAATCCTCATTCCTCAGCGTACCGCTTAACAGTATTGGACAGATACTGTTATGATGAGACGCACTATGAGCCCGACTTGAATGGAAATACGCAGGCTGCCTCGGTAGATCACAACAAGATCGTAAGTTTGGGGAGATTGAGTGTACATTCCAAGCTATGCTCATGTGCTGTCTCCAGTTTCGAGCTTCTTACGGGAGCAAGCTTCATTACCAGCGTCTAGCATTTGAAAGTCGTGCTGCATGGGAGAAGATCAACGAGAAGAGGCACCAAGAAGATCATGAATCAGAGCTCTTTAGCGGGAGTGGCATGCTCCGAGTTCAGCCCACCGCCGAACTCGATCCACTTGAGCGTGAGACACTGAGCAACTTTGAACGAGACGGCCTCAGAGATACTCAATTCGTCAAGAGCGACCCGACTGATCGAGCTCGAGCAGCTGAGCGTGGATGGGAAGGAAAGCTTCTAGAATTCGAAATTCCACAAGCCTTGCCTACTCAGACTTATGAAGCTGTTCTTGACTCAACTGCAGGATTCACAAAATGCAGCGAAGCCTGTGCCTATTTCTACAAGTTGGCTCTCAAACAGGGCGTTGAGTTTCACTTTGGCCCCGGGAAAGGTACCTTTGACAGTATTATCGAAGAAGTTGACTCACCATCACACCTGAAGAAGGCAGTCGGGGTCAAGACCAAAGACGGAGTCCTTCATAAAGCGGACGTGGTTGCCATTTGCGGTATGCATACTCTCCTTTACCACTACCTGCGAGGTTGCGCGACTAATAGTCAACAGCTGGATCCTTCTCAACGCAGCTATTGCCTGATTTGTCCTACCACCTTGAGTCGTCTGCAGGAAGCGTAGTCACCTTCAAGGTGGACAAGAACAGCGCAGATTTGTGGGACAAGTACTCCCCTGAACGCTTCCCGGTCATCACTTGGAAAAGTGCACCACGCAATCCGAGCGGTAAAGACACCGGCAGTGTTTACGTTTTTCCTCGGACTGCCGATGGTCTCATCAAAATCGGGTTCCGAGGCATCAAGGTACTTATGCGTCGTCGTGTTCGCTCGTATCAGGCTAACAAGACAACCCCCAGTTTACCAATTTCCAACATGCGCCTTCAGAGGCGGGCTTCACTCAGGACGGCCAGTGGAGCGTGCCTCTCCCGCCCGCTGATTGCAGCATAGTCCCAGACCCTGCGAGGGAGGCCATTCGAAAGTTCGTCTCCATCTTCCTCCCGGAGTTCGCCGACAAGGACTTCAATTCGACTAAGCTATGCTGGTACACCGACTCATTGGACAACTCTTTCGTTGTGAGTCAGCTCTTACCTGTTTTAAACCTTTTCACTTACTGATCATTTCAGATCGACCATGTGCCTACTTATTCCGAAGGATCTGTCTTCGTCGCGACTGGAGGCAGTGGACACGGTGCCAAGTTCCTTCCCGTGCTTGGCGAGGTGGGTAGCAAAAGCTTCGACTCTTCTTGGCGTATCGTCTGACAATGTTTACAGCACGCAGCCGACATTTTGATACATGGTGATCAGAGTACTTCCTTCATGAGGCAGCACTGGCGCTGGAGGGACAACATTCGTAGGGGCAACGGCCTAGAGGAGGGCCCTGAGGGTCCGAGAAATATCGGAGGATCAAAGGAGGCTTAGCCATTGGGATCGCATGCAATTGTGCCTATTCTCGCAGGTCCAACTACTAATTTGATTACTGTCAATCCTTGAATATTAAAATCAAGGATTCTGTTGGTTTTGAGGATGCACGCCATACTTCTTAGTGTTTGGGAATTTGACTCACAAAGCGAATGATCGATGAGCCGTATTACTCGATCCTTTCTCAGGTATCAGTGACCGACATTACATTCCTATGAGACGCGTCAGTTCCCACTAACCAAGGCCACAATGCTTCGGGCCGGTCGCCAAGAAGGCTTGTTCTCCGAGAGCCAAGAGTCTGACATGGGTATTACGACCTGAAAGTATGATATGTTACGTCTTCACAGGGGTGAATTTGTCGGTTGCATAGAGATCTGCGCAAGACGCAGGGGCTGTGAGCAACCTTGATGTCCTCGCTTTCGCCCCTTGCCTTTCTCACGCATTACCAAAGCAGCTCATTGGTGTCGTCTTCATCTGCTGCTTGTTTTTGCCATTTGCCTGTTTAGGATCAAAAGCCTCATCTTGATTTCACCGGGGTTAGTCCAGCCGGTCAGGGACGATTCCAATCCTGGTCCCAGGCCACCTCTATGGTTGATGCTCTGGAAATACAGACTCGGAAAATCAGAAGAGTCA